AACGACTTTTTGCACGCACCGCGCCCAATCCCATTGACATCAGTTATTATTACCGTCTGGTGGATGACATGTGACCTCAAGTGTTGTAACCAGAAGCAACAGGCGCCCGCAACAGTACACAATATTATTGCGATCTTAGACGGCGACCTTTTGATAGTACTATTTTGATTTTGATTTACACTAAGCAGTGTATGTCTTACACGAAAGCCGGCGGCGAATTGAAAACTACACTACAACACAGCTTAACCGAAAACCACTAGCGCGCTACTTCAGAAACGGGTTACACTGACGTTTGGTATACGCCTCTTCAATTAAGTCTCATTCGCCTAGGAGATGCACACGAGACCCGAGTTTAGATCGGTATTGATTCGCGGAAGTCTAACACTGCTGACCTCTGCGAACAGAGGAGAGAGTGTACATCGTTAAAAGTTATCTACTAGCAAACTTGGCGAATTTTTTTCAACTTTTTGATTTGTTCTTTCACGGATTTAGTATATTATTATATTGTAATAACTTTATTTAATATTAGCTTATCTAATATTACTGGTTCGGTAATATACATGCCATAGGAACTACAGATTAAATCGTTGCGAGAACATAGTTTTTTTTTTATGCGCGGTGTATAATATTTTGAATGTTGATTGGATTTTACACGCGTGCACAGGAACAATAGCCGATTGTTGTGTCTCGACCATAATGTCCGTGATCGATGGACTTTATAATATAAGAACAGTTGCACACCCACGTGGAATAATTGTGGTAGAAAAAAATAAAATATTTTAGCATGAAAGTGTATTCAATGCGCCGTTAGTGAAACTGTTGGCCGACCAAGTTGGACGTACATTAGGGCCACCCTGATAGACAGTCGGTTGACGGCAAAATAACATTACAGAGTCCTTATACTTACGGTACCTATGCCTAGTTAATCCAGAAATCGTGTGCGTTTCTCTGAAGTTTTGGGCCGCACGCGAGATCAAAATGATTTTGCATGAGTTTCGAAATGCCGGAATTCGCATTAGGCCGCGACTTCGCGTGTTTGCTTATAATATGTTATTATTATAATAAGTTAGCTGCGTTGTTAATGTTAGCTTGTGTCGCGTTGCAATACCCATTATTACACACTATATATATTATATACAGTAACGGCTGATCTAGAGGTCATCCGCAATGGAGCGTAGAATTTGTTTTCTTTAAAATTGCACTAAAACTTCGGTGTAGTACTGAGAAGACATTATAGCTTTTCAGCGTTTCTCAATTCCTTGTTTTTTAATTAAACTTATTTAATCACGCTGGGTAAGGTACTAATTACTTACAGTTTTTTGCGTTATAAGAATTATACGGGTTTAAAGCTAATATATATTATTATTTCCGATACTTAATGTCTTTATCTACAAATATTTATTTTACTTTAAGTATTTTCTATTTTCAATCTCTAATTACTATAACTAACTTGCCGTGAGCTGTTTGTGGGCTTATGACTTAGATGTGTATAGTTCATGTTCCATATATTTTGTCTTCTAATTTTCTCCAAAACTTCCCCTTATTCCCCTTTTTGCGCCGCGCCAATGAAGACCCATCGTTTACTTTTTAACAATATTATTTTGGCCAATTTATATATCCCTATATTTTTTCTCTTCTTTGTCTTGTAAAAACTGCTATTTTTAATTATTATGTATTATATTTTATTATTTTTTATTAGCCTTATTATTATGTATTATTGCACTATTATTTATATCTGGACTATGCCCGTAAATTATTAAATACATAAATAAATATTGTCTTCGCACTTCTTTGCTGGTACCTAACGCATTGAACTATACTAATTCCGTAGGCGTCCTTGAAAAAGTTGTAATTATAAAAGACTTGCAGTATCGTCTTAAAACTCGAGTTAGTGTCCGTGATAGATTTCTTATCGTTGATTCATCTGATGGATGTTATTTCGTGTTACCTGTAAAACTTAAGAACTTGAAATAGCTCGGCACATGTTGTGTGCCCGCAGTGGTTTCCTTATTATTATTATGATTATAGGTAATGTCTATTGTATATTACTGAATTTATTCTCTTGTATATGTGCCGCGACACATATATTATGCACCTTTCTCTCCCACGTTCACGTTTATTCCTTGTATACATGCATCGGAGGCGGCTATTAGCACACCAAGTTTTAAAACAAGCAAAAATCGCCGTTTCCAAACGGTCTCACTTGTACTACAACTTACACACACACAAAATATATCCAATAAAAATAAAACAACACGAACGGGTCATAACAATCTATAGGTATGGTAATATTGTTGTTATAATATTATAACTATTAGTATATTTATTCAAATGAGTTTTGATAGGTTTTCAGACGATTACATAATATGGCGGTATCCTGTCGTTGTTACGTTATACTATTGTGGTTCTTATAGCAAAATGACGATAGTATTTTAAACTTTAGCGAGCGCAATAAAAAAATATATGCTTCAGTTTTACATGACTTGTAAACTGCCACCGTGGAACGATTAAATGGAAAATAAAATTGTGAAGACTTTGTATCACGTGTTTTTTTTTTATTGAGGCGTTAAATATTAGTATATGAATGGTGCCAAGAAGGGGCTGGGGAGCTTAAAGACTTAGCACACAAGAAAATATTTGTGTATACATAGTGTTATTTTCTTTACTAACTTTGAAGTAGTTAAAAAAAGTGGATGCATCATATAATGAAATGACGAAGTAGAAAAATGAATAAGGAACTTGTGACGAAGAGACAAAATCCAATTTTTAACCTTTTTTTTTTTTTAGTTTTTGACTATTTAGGATTTAATTCACATTTGTACACAACGTTTAAAGTCTGAAATGTTAGTAATACACTAAATAAAAATATAATCCGTCAAATCTAAGAAATTCATGGTTGTTTTATTTTTTTGTTGACCGATGATAAATCTAGAGTACACCCTAGGTGTCTGATACTCATCATAATGACTAAACGCAAAATATCAATTTTAACGCATTATACCTACTTATGCGGTTGTTATTGTTTTGCCGGACGATTGCTAGGCAATATCCTTTGTACCGGAAGCGACAGAATCGTACGCGGTGTGTAGGTATGTGCACCGCGCACCGTGACAGATCGATCGGCATTCCGTCGGTGTATATATATATATATATATACAGTACACAGTATTGTATTATTTAATATTATTTTAAGTATAGGAAAGAAAAAACGCGATAATGGCCTTCGAGACTACTGGAGGAACATTACGGGCGCGCTCTGCAAGCAGCAGACAAATAAAAAAATATAACACGGGGTAGAATTGTATTTTTTTTTAAATGTTTTACCGAGACATTTCTTTCGGCGCGTTTTTGCTTCAAACTCGTTTCCGTCGTTCCGTAATAATAATTATTCTCTCAGTATAATAGTTAAAAAAAAAAAAGCAGTGGGGGAAGTAAAATAGTTGTCTCGAACCGAAGGTATAAGTGCGTTGTAGTATCCAAGTCGTAATATAGCGCTTAATAGTAATTTTCATGTGGTTATGCAATTTTAAACACAAGTCCGCCAAGTTATGCATACTCGACCCGTGGCCATCACGTTACTATAACATGCATTTAAACATAGGTACACTATGCGATATATGTAAAATTTTAAACGGCGCTTATTATGTTTGCTAAAACCGTGGAAATACTTTTAATAATATATTCTTATAATACGGGAGTGACATCGTGAACTGCGCATGGTGTGGCGTGACCGGAAACGTATTATAATACATATTATACATGAGGACAGGTGGCGTATGGGTCTCATGCCGCCGTCGCCGTAACCCGTTCAGGCGCTACAAAGAGAACAATAAAAAATAAGAAAAACAAAACGTTATTTGCACACACACACACACACACGCGGGTCTTCATTACAACCGCATTGTACTTTTTTTTTTCAACATTAAACGCCTACATCTGAGCCGAGATCGCAAATAAAAAAGAAACACAAAACCATCTCGTGCTCGGATATATCTTTTACATGATATATTTATGAGTATACAGCTGGTGCAGTAGCTATTACCCGAGTTTTTCTTCTATTGTTTCTTCTCATTTCGCGGATCTTATAAAAATATAATATAATACGTTATGTGGGGTTCCCTTCCGTTATCGTGCTCTCTGGTCAACTATGCTAACATAAACACGAGTCGCGTTCGAAAGTTCTCATAGACGACTCTACTTTACACGGTTGTTAAACGTAAGACACTATTTTTCCCTGAAAATAATTACAGTTCTAATTTTTTTTTTTTAATGAGTCATTTTAGTTAATATTTCAACAATATTAAACCATATTCGAATTTCTATCTTTTATTGGCAAGTGGAGGAGTGGCCGAGTGGCAAACAATCGTCCGGTGAAAAGTAACCGCCAACCCCTCTCCGGTGACGGACTGACGACCCAAACCGGACAGCGAATCCGTCTAGAAACTATCATCTAATGATGGCAGCGTTGCGCCATAAAGGCCCCCGTTAAGCTTGATGATGATGATGATGATATTGGCAAATCTAGGGTTCTATCAAGTTTTGAAACTTGAAAAAGCGGCTGAGTAACTTTTTGTAGTTTTAGGCGATATTTAGAACCATTAAAAAAATTACTAATTGATTTACAATTCTTATAATGTTTAACATTATTATACTAAATACAAGTAAAATACGTGTATAGTAATTGGTCAGTTTTTACTTGGCAAAATGTGACATTAAATTAAGTTGGTCAAAATGAATAATTGATAATTCCAAAACTATTATCAAATAAATTGTTGTTAGATATTATATGTGTTGACAAGAATATTGGAATGGAATCGGGAAATGCATCAAAATTTGACACTTACAATTGATCTTTTTATAATTTTACTTGTTTTTCTAATATTAGTGTAAAAATTAAATGCCGATACTTCATTATAGATACAGCAATGATCAAGTCATAATATATATTAGTCCTTTTGTTACCTCTATAATGTCATTATAATAAGGTTTTTGTGTTGCAGATGGGATTGTCAGGAACATATCGAAAACGAACGGGGTTAGGCCCGAAGAGAAGATTTCCACCGTTTCTAGGTAAGGCGTTAGACGTTTACGCTACTTTAAAATCCATAGTTTTGTCTGTTACAAAAGGATAATATATGAGAAATAACTTGGAATATTAATTACAATTAAGCCGTTTTTATCTTTTAAAATAAAATCGCATCACGCCAAACTATACATACAAATAATTTAAACTTTAAAAGTAATTAAATTAATAATATAAATAGTTGGTAATAGCCTCCAGAACATATATGAAAAATAGTTATGATATTTTACTTGAGTACAAATAAAAAAAGGGTTACTGGATTTAATAAAGTGAATAAACTAAACTGGATTAACTGAAGTTAACCTTAATAATTTCGATGTAGATGGTTTGCCGAGAGGTTTTTTTTTAATTATTCTATAATATAATATTGAACGTGATATATACACTATATTAATGTACAAATTTTCAAAAGTCGCTGTAAATATGTTCTTTAAAATTTTTTGTTCTGCTCAGAAATGATGTGAGTTTTATTTAAATCGTGAAAACCAATTTAAATTGTGATTTGAACTATGTGAAAGTTGATGACCTAATATCTTTATTAATTGTTAATTATTTAAGTTATAAATTGTGTCGACTGTCGGCCCACGATGTATTTGAAAATAATAGGCTTTTGACGATTAATAAAATAATAATTGGCGTATCTTGGTTAACAAAAAAAAAGTGGTATCAATCTACAAAATGAATTTCCTCTACATCGAGCGCAGTTGAAGTAGTAATTTAACCTAATTAAATTAATACAACAATCAACCTACTCAAGCGTCAGATTTCACGATTGAAAATAATTTCAATAATAATATACTTAACATAGCCGTTTTCTTTATGAAGTTAAGCCGGCAGAGATGAGGGGCACGTCTTTGCGTTCAGACAGGTAATGTCAGATGCGACGCTTATTATTATGGATCATTAGTCGTTATACTATGTATGTATAGGATTTTGATTGGCTTCTTTATATATTATAGTAGTTATAAACGCGTCCGAATTATGCACTAATAACTGTAACTCGCGACGAAAACCGGAAATATTCACACGGTGGCCCTGTGCATTCTGTCATAACGTGCACCGAAATCCATCCACGTACTTACATCTATTTTATAACGCTATAACTATAAGTAATACGATTCCCACGGAATCCGGTGGCTGTACGTTTTCGTCATACCGATTTATTTCAATGTGTACGTATATGTATAATAGTAAATATTATAATATATTGATCAGTTACCGTAGGTGAATTCTTCGGAGCGGCCAATCCGGTACACAGAGATTACATTAAAATATAATATAATTTACATGCCGTGCCTGGTCAGGCGGCAAAAGAAAAAAATATATAAACCCATTTACAATAATATTATTTTTAAATAAATTGTTATATATGCGAGTGTATATATTTTTGTGATTATGCGTTACTTTATATGTATGTGCACGGTAATGTATCAAATTGTGGTACACATAATATTATAATAATATTGCCCAGCCACATATACACCCATTGACAGTACATTCGTACTTGTATTTAGAGAAGTCGATGTCCGCTGTGCGTTTATCAAACAGTTAGTAGCAATCACATCATCATCTTATAATATTATTATTATATGCGATTACAGCTGCTTGGGATTACAGCAAAAACGAATGCACTAAGCGTGCAAAATATATAATGTTATGTGTACACAGTCATGTACGCATAAACGTATGTTTTTTCGGAAAACTTATATCCGGTTTCCGTTACACCGTGAGAGAACGCTTGAAATTTGAGCAAAAACATTTCATTTCGAGTCGCTATAAACTACATCAAGAAAAGTATACTTGCACAAATGTATGATGTTTTGCATGTATTACATTATATTATACATGCAATTTTCTTTATTTATGTTTCTTTTTTTTTTAAACTATTATACCCTGGCGGCTGCCTCCAAAAATTCCGAAATAATAACCGATATGCATCAGTCTGATGGCAATGTATTGTGATAATAAATAAATAAATACAATTATACTAGTTAATTAAATTATAGATAAACAGTTGTTTTAACGAGTTCAACGCACAAACATATTCAGGAAGGCAAAATTGTAATGAATTTATAATTGAGTTATAATATGGAATCTTTTCCCGGTTTAAATGCTCATGGTCGATAATTATGTAAAAAGTTGCTTATTAAAATATATTTTTCGCTAGTAGGTTAAGTCGGGTTTTGGCAGGCGTCGGTCCTTCCAGACGTCGATCGTCGACCATAACAATTGACACAATTCCACAATATGGTCAACTAAACTCGTTACAGTTAAAAAAATACGTATTAAAAAAAACGGTACTTATATGCTTGAATGTTAATGATGATTATTAATTATGTAAATCCGGTGCTAGCGTTTATAATCAGCGGATTAACCTCGCGATCATACTTATGAGCTCAATAGATCGAAAATTGACTATAAAAAAAATCGCGTTCTCCTTGTGAATTTTTTTATGGCCAGCAAAAAGACATAATTACCTGCGAGAATGCGCGGTCGTTAGCGTGTCGTACCGTTTATGTCATTTTTTTACCACAGTGTGGTTTATCAGTGGGCAGCTGCTTTCACCGTGTTGTTATATTAGCGTTATTTTATTTTCTTCCTTCTTCGGTGAATTTTTTCTCCAGGTTAATCGCCGCTACACACCGGCTAATTGACGGTGTTCGAAATAAGAAAAACTACCATCGCTGTGAAAACTTCACACGAGTTTTTTTTTATGACTTCGACGTTTTTCGTTCAGAATTGGAAACAAAAACAATCATTACCATATGTATAAACATAAAGATACTATGGATTTTTCTCCGCGATCAACCCAGTGGCACACTTATACACATACGTTGCGAGCAGTTATTATAAATAATTAGATACATATATCTAGACAGACACCCATATGTGTGTATATACCAAGCAGCAGCGTACCTGTTTTGCCCTATTCAATTGTTTGTACACGGTATATATTGTAATATACATCACATGTGTGTATATTTTTATAGTCCCGAAACACAATATGTCGGGTGATTAGCGTATAATAACTGTGTATTATTTATTGTGCGTACACGCACACATACATACTTAAAAAGAATTGTACCTTAACCATAGGTACGTATAAAGGAAAATACTGTAGCATACTGTATAGTATTAAGACCATAAGTTGGCCGGTACAAACGACGCATGGTCTTTGTTTTGGTATACCTATTTTGTAAGTACGTTATATGTACAATTTCTTTTAATCCCCGAAATATCTTTCTCGTATATGATATATATTATATAGAAGAGCGCATCGATAAGCGTGCATATATGGCTTAATGGGAGATTCTTAAGGCTGTATATTATAGGTCCATAGGTATAGCCATACTGGCGCGACTTTCCTCTTGGAGGCAAGGTGAAACGCAGCAGTGATATGTATATATACACACATACATACCTACTACATAAGTGGATGAATGTTTTCTTCTTGTTTGGTTGTGTTTTTTTTTATCGAGAAAAATCTGTTACTATACCGCCGACCCACGGACAATGACAATAATTATACGCGGTATGCCAGAAAAAAAAAAATAAGAACCCAACCGACAATTATATCATCCCTCGATCGGGTCCGTACCCATTCTACACTCCCATATTATTTATTGTACAGAAATCATAGTATAGGTATCCACTGAACGAACCGTGAGGAAAACAAAATATACAAATCAACAAGTTAAGGCTAGCGCCACCGTGTAAAGTTGAAAATAATAAGAAACAAAATAAATTATAATGCAGACTGAGAGTACATGCAACTAAGCACAGAAAAAAAATTATAATAATGATTTTTTTTCAGAATAAAATACCCTTCTTAAAAAAAAAATAGTCTAGGTGACACAATTGTATTAGGAACACCCATAAAAACATAATATCCCAAGCATAACTATATTTCTGCACTGAGTTTATTAGAGTAAAAAAATAGTTATTAAATTTTAAAGTTATAAAACAAATTGAAATTTAAGTTGTAACTTTGAAGAGAACGTGTCCTATAATAATAAATTGTAATATAACTACAATAATTTATAGTAGAATTACACAGCTATTATACATGAGTCGGTACCAAACGTTGAACTCGCGTTTCCTTTGTTAATTTATGGTAGTCGTCTTAGAGAAACAAAAATGATTTGCGCATTGTGCAAAAATAAATGGTACCTATTTTTAATAGGCGAGAAAAAACAAATAAATCAGAAACATCAAAACAGACGGTGATGGCCTGCTGGGCACCTCGCTTGTTTTTTTGAGGGAATTCCAAGAAGCGAATCTTGGGGGAAACTAATATCATTAGAAGTATAATTTATATACTAAATCGGTTATCTGGTCAAATGTTCAGTATTGCGTTATAATATTCTTCTCCGTAAAGAAGAAACCCTTGAACTTCTTGAGAGGACCTGTATCGAGCGTTGGTAACAAAGAAGAAGAAAGTTAGTAAATATAAAAACAAAATTTACATATAGCAATACTTGGAATATATACTTCGTTTATTGCAGCGATTTTTCGTTGTCTAAATAGAGTTAACACATAATGTGTGTAATAGATAAATGACATAACATAATATAAAATATATATATTATAAATAACGGTGTATATATATAAGATATATACACCGTTTTTTTTTTTTGGTTTAATGTCACATTACGAAAAATACTTCTCAGTTCTCAAATAGGTTTTTTAATACAACCATTGATTATAAATGTTATAATATTATTTTTTTAATATTTATTATCAATGATACAACGTATTACCAAGTATGAACTTGGTCATATTTTACTAGTATATGTCTAAGCATATACCAAAACAAATTTATAATATACAAATATATATTTTGTAAATACTTTAGATGTATATTATGTACCTCGTTTATTAAAAAATTAGATAGACGACGCCTAGGTATATTATACTCAGCCATTTTAGATTTCATGTTTCAGCTACGTTTAGCATAATAGTTTAATCAACGATTATTTATAAGTTT